ATGAGGTCCTTCTTTACCATCTCGGCCTTGACTACGTAGGAGTGGGCATACTGGATGGCCTGTAAGAAAAGGAACAAGTTAGAAAAATTGGTTAAGTAGAGGAACTAAAAAGTGAAAATAGCAAGGAAGAAGTTAAGAAACTTACCGAGATTGAATGGCGCATCATCATCATGAAGTTTTCATATTGGCTGAACTCGGCGACCTGATTCATGTCGACCGATAGGAGAACGACTATGGACAACGCAACGCCGATTTCCAGGCTTTCCACTGCGTTATCGCTGGCCTTAAGAGGCATGTCACCGACAAATACCTCGGGCGCCCATGTATCGTCAGGGTGGAAACTGTTCCCAACCTTTGGGCCCTTCAATCTCTTCTTCTCCTGCAGCGGTGCATCGGATGATTCAAACTTGGCTAGCCTTTTCTCAGTGTCGACCAGTTTGGATATTCGAATAGAGTCTTCTAGATCCTTTTCAGAATCAGAAGGAATGTGAGTAATAGTAACCTTTGCCTTGGCCTTCTTTACACATTTCGGCTTCAACTTCGACTTTGGCTGAGAATGTGGGGTGGATTACATAGATACAACGTCGCGCAAATTGGCCAGTAGGTCCTCCGTAACTGTCGGTTTGTGACCCATCTCCTCGACGGTGGCAGCAATGGTCACTCTAGAGTTCGACCAGCAAGACCGTGCAAAATTTGACATCGATGTTAGCGCTGGAATGATGGAATGAGTTGGGTTGCAGCAAAGGGTGAGAGCTGTTCAACAGGATCCGAACTAGATGCTTGGTCTAGCCTGGATGAAGATGTAGCTGGTGGAATGGACACAGAAGGCGGAGTTTGGTTTCTTCTGGGAACGTTGGGGAGCTGGGACTGGTATGTCGGCACGTAGTTCAACAGAATAGGTGCCTTGCATTTTTCGATTGGCAGACCCAGAAGCTGGTTGAGATCTTAGCTTAGGATACACTCCTGGCGAAAATTCTTTGACGGCTGGGGAAGAGCTGCAGAAACAATGAGAAAACATTAGTATATTTAAGAGAATTAAATTGCTAAGTTTTAACAGAAATAAAACTATGGGGTGACTAAGTTCTTACCCTCATCTTCCCTAAAAACTCCTCGGCGTAATGGGAAGAGATGAAGATCGTCATCCAACGCGAACTCTCAGTTTCTCGTGACAATCAAATAATCCTCTCTAGCGCCTTTATTGGAGTCGGGAAGGTCGGCTATAAGCTTGTACTTGGTGGATCTGGGCTTCAGGTAGTAAGTATAGTCACTTTTGGATTTAAGGCCACAAATTGTGTAACAATATTAGAGGTCGGACAGAGTTATCCTAGCCTTTTCCCGGCATGCTAGCTCAACAACACAGTTGATGACCCTAAAGGTATTGACTGCTAACTGCATGGGGTTGAGTTTATAAAAGTGAAGGACTTCTCTAAAGAAAATGTCAAGGGGGAGTCTGATTCCACCGTCGATAAAAGAGACTATTGGAAAGGGGTAGAAGGCCTCTCCTGGCATCATGGAGTCCTCTTCGCTAGCCAACCTGAGATGAACATCGGTTGGGATAAAGAACTCCTGGTGAAAATTTTCAGGTTTGGTCGGCGAATCTATTCTCCACTTCAACATACATATGATCTCAGCTAGGGTGATTTGTGTACTATTGTCTGTGTAAAAAGGGTTTAATGTGGGTTCAAAGACCTTAGCAAGACCCTAATGAGCACTAGGGTAAGGGTTCTTAAAGATCTAAGGGAGGATTTGTTTCAGTTTTCCTAAGTATATGATTTCTAAGTCAAAACCCAAACCTAGAATCCATGCAAGTGAACAATATTCGAAGACAGAATCTGGAAACAAAGCAAGAAAAGCAGAAAATAAGCATGATTCAAAAAAAGAAAGAGAAAAATAACAATGTGGCAAGTGTAGTGGCATGGAGCAGTGGTTCAAGAACACGACAAATTTGAAGAAAGACACAATTCAGAATCAAGAAGTAGAAAACTAGAGGCATTGTCGAATTTGTGAGCATCAATTCATGACATTTAATGAATGAGTATAAGGGAGTGTACAGGAACAATGAAGAAAAACAGAGTACATGTATGAATATAGATTCAATAGCAGCACAGAAGTGATTACAAATAAAATTGAAGGCATGTAGCAAATTCAAGAGCGGAAAATATTGAAGAACAGAAAGTCAAGAACAGTAGAGAACAAAAAATGAAAAAGAGTAAATTGAAGACTTACAGAATAGAGCTGAAGAAATGGCCACTGGATTCGTAATCACCGAAGTCAGATGGTGACGGAGCAATGAGAAGATTGTCGAAGGTGATGAACAAATGGCTACTGGATGCTCAAAGGAACAGTAATGGCGGTTTGAGAGAGGTTTGATAGAGAGAGAAATTTTGAGACACGAAAGAGAAATTGAATTTGCAAAAGTGAGAAGGCGAAGAGAGAAAAAGAGAGTTTTGTCAAAAACTGAAAAGATGAAAAAATGTTATGAAAGTACCTTGGATGACGTGCTTGTCAAGCGACGTGGACAGAAATGACGCAATTTGATAATGCGTGTCAGGTACGGGCCAATAAGGATGGAACAAGTGAAGGAAATGGTTGAAATGATTGTGTGTGACAACTCATGCACAGTTGAAACTCTTGAAATTCTTGAAATAATGGGGTAGGAACCTCGATTGGAGCTTGAGCTTGATTGAAATTCTTAAAGGAAATTGGTTCTTGGTTCTTGATTCTTGATAAAGTTGGCAATTGAATCTTAATTACTTGAATCCAACGAGTCATGAGCTCGGTAGGAGTAGTATCTGAGTTTTGAGCCGGCATGTTGGTTGGACAAACAATATAGGTTCCACTACCTCAGGTTGCTGAGGTAATAGAACCTAGGAGGCAGCTGTGGGGAAGGATTTTGCGAATGACAACATGTGGCCAAGATAGCCCGAGATGTCGACTAAGGTGCCACGTGGATGAGTCATGTTGCCAAGGTGACCATGGCGTTGCCGAGATGTTCTGCGGTAATGCCGAAATCCCGAGGTATCCGAATAAGGGACAAGAGTCCTAGAACAAAGGATGATCACAGTCTGGATAAGGATAAGGCTCATGAAGAGTTTATCCTTATCTAGCCAAGAGTCCAAGATGAGTATTGAGACTCAGTCCAACAAAGTAAGTCTTCTAGGTGATCGGGTCACTACTGGTTATAAAAGTAAGGCACCTTCGTGGGTCTGAGATAAGTTTTTTTCTTGGGAGTTTAAGTACTATTTTGATATCTGTGACAGATAAAGTTTATTGACTTGATCATCGGAGTGCCCCCAAGTGGACGAATCACCGTAAAGTTCTCATCTCCTTGTTGGCAGGTAGTTGGTTCATTCCATTCTGCCGGTGTTCTCCAGCTGAGTTTCCCTTTTGGTTATGTGGTCAGAAATCAACACCCACAAGTTATATAATACAATATATATATATATATATATATATACGTGTGTTCATATTCTGAAAACAGTGATGAACATAAAAAAAAAAACAAAGCTTCTAAAAAGAAAAAAATAGAAAAATCAAAAAAGAATAAAGAAAAATGTACGAAAGATTGTTATTATAGAAAACCATGCAGGTTGAGTATTTCTATCTCAAAGTATTTACATTAATTAAAACTTGTATTAAAATTATTATATTTTAAAGAGGGGCCTAACTTCCCTCCAGTCCTAGATCAAACTGGAGGGTGCTGTTAGGCCCCTGGGGACCCACCACGGGTCCTATTTTGATAATCTGAACCGTCAATGTGTAGAACTTGTCGAGTACTATATGCCTGTAAAATATCATATTGATCGGATATCAATAGCCACATGATCAAATCAGTTTTGTATAAGAAAAAAAATGAACGGTAAAAAAATAAACGGTTGACAGAAAACTGATCCAATGAGATAGCTATCGATATCCGATCAATGTGATATTTTATAGGCATATAGTACTCAGCGAGTTCTACACATTAAATGGTTCGAATTATCAAATCAAGACCCGTGGTGGCTCCCATGGGCCTAATAGTATCCTCTAGTCTGATCTGGGACTAGAGAGAAGCCACTGCCTTTAAAGAGTAACAAAGATTTAAGGGCTTGATAGTAATTGTTGAATGCAACACTGCTCAACATTTTGAAGTCCTCATAATTGTACTTCCACTAGCCACTTGTGTCTCCATGCGCATCGCGTGCTAAGTTAAACCACTACAAACAAAAATAAAATTTGACAAAATCATTAATACCATCAAAACAAATAATTTATATAATGTAAGAGAGATCTTGCTATAGTACTCTTTATAATTTATGAGTGAAAATAAAAAAAAAAAGATTTTATGCTATTTGTATATATAATATATATTCAATATGATTTAATAATCTAGATTACTTTAATATCATGTAATGTCTAATAATTTATATATATATATTTAATATTTTTATATATCTATATATGTATAATTCGGATTTCGGATTGCTCGGGTTATTTGATATCTTTACACAAGCCCGCCCAAATTTAATTCGGGTTTCTGAATATTTGCCCAAGTCCATATAGAATTTGAAAATATCTTGTCCAAACCCTAAAAAAAATAGGGCTGAGTTCGAGTTGCTCAGGTTGAGCCCGCCTAAATTGCATTCCTAATTTAGACGTTTAAATGAGTGTGATTATTCATATTTATTATTAAGGTTAAGTTTTATAAATAAAAAAAAATACCATGAAAATTTTTATAAAAATTATTTATTCTTAGATTATACATATAAGACAATAAAATATCACAAATTAATTCAAGAATGAAAATTTTTCATAAAATTTTTTATGATATATATATATTTATAAAGCATATCATTACTCTTTATTATTTCATATATTAATATTATATTAAAATTATGCATGAATTATTAGATCAGGAGTTGAGATGATAAAGTAAAATATAATAAAAAAATTTGTGATCATCTAACCATTATTTTAGTGTAAACCCTCCTAGGACTACCCTATATAAACAGACAACCCCAACCACTTACCTTAGCATAAACTTAGATCAGAAACAGAAATGAAAATGAGGTCTTGGGCCTTGACAATACTCTGTTTGTTGGCCGCATTACTAATTACAAAAGGCTCAGCCGAGCAATGTGGTAGGCAAGCTGAGGGTGCACTTTGCCCAGGAGGGCTTTGCTGCAGCGAATACGGTTGGTGTGGCACCACATATGACTATTGTGGTCCTGGTTGCCAAAGCCAATGCTCCATCACTCCTCCTCCTCCTCCTCCTCCTCCTCCTCCTACTACTCCGCCTCCTCCTCCTCCTCCTTCACCGCCAGGTGGTGAGAATATCACCAATCTCATTACTAGGTCTATGTTTGATCAAATGTTTCCAAATCGAAACTACAGTAGATGCAATAGCGAGGATTTCTACACCTACGACGCCTTCATAACCGCGGCCAAGTCCTTTCCTGCCTTTGCCACCACTAGCGACACCGATACATGTAAAAGGGAGCTTGCAGCTTTCTTCGGCCAAACTTCCCAGGAAACTTCTGGTTATTTAGTCCATCCTCACTCATTTCCCGTGGCCATCACACACACACACACACACACGATTGATTGAATGACTGATGAATATGGAATTGTTAATGTATGTGTATGATATTATTAGGTGGCTGGGAGACTGCACCAGGTGGGCGTTACATGTGGGGATACTGCTTTATTAAAGAATTAAACCCGCCTAGTGACTACTGCGATCAAGGATCTCAAACTCAATGGCCCTGTGCTCCCGGCAAGCAATATTACGGCCGAGGCCCAATCCAACTTTCCTAGTAAGTCAAATGCTTGCTTCTGCTTTTGCTTTTTATTATTAATCATGGAAATACTTTGACTTTATGTTTTCATATATATTAATTTCAGCAATTACAACTATGGACAAGCGGGAGAGGCCTTGGGATTGGACCTCTTGAACAACCCAGATCTAGTAGAAACTGACCCAGTCATCTCATACCAGACGGCTCTATGGTTTTGGATGACTCCACAATACCCAAAGCCTTCGTGCCACGATGTCATCATTGGAAATTGGACACCAACGTCAGCTGACCAATTGGCAGGTCGGGTTCCTGGGTACGGTGTCATCACAAACATCATAAATGGCGGTCTTGAATGCGGTCATGGCGAGGATTCAATTGTTAAGTATCGCATAGGGTTCTATCAGAGGTACTGTAGTGATGAAATATTTGATGTTAGCACCGGTGACAACCTTGACTGCTACAACCAGTCGCCTTTCGGAACCGGACTCTTGCTTGACTCTATGTAATTGCAACTTCCCTACCGTTGTTGCAATCAGTTCAAAACTGCACAAGCCACTGTTGCACTAAACTAAAATAAGTGTGCACAATAACAATGACTATCAACTTTTTCTGTTCCGGCTCCGAGTGATTGCAATATTTTCTGCAGAAACAAATTAAAATGTCACACATCACAATGAAAATCAAAGTTGGCCACAAATATATATTACTTTTATGAACATTCATGAATTACTACAAAATTGGCTACTATTTCCTGTCCATTACACTATACTTGCTACCATCAAACAATATATGTGTGGGTTAGATATAACCTGTATGTGCTCTGTTCAAACTTTATCAATGGAAGAATTAATGGATGCATAGACTTTGAATTTCTTGTACTAAAGCTCGGCCATAAAATTTGTCGTGCCTATATTGCCTCAATGGCCTCCTCAAGCTTTGGTTTGCTCGGCCACATAGTTTCACATCTTTACTCAACAAAAGCTCTAATGCTTTCTCAAAGGTTCTTTAGAAAAAAATTTAAATAGACGAAAACCATGCAAGCAAAATAAGAGTTAACCAATATATAAGAAACAAGAACTGGCATCAAGACTAGGTGGCTTTTCTTTGGTTTCCAAATTGATAAGCCACAAGATTGTAGCATCGCTAAATGAAGAAACAAACAATACTACAAATGATTTTGAGAAATTTGATTGTGTATTGCAATCACTCATCGGTCACAAGAAAAGCACAAGTAATAATGCAAATTTGCGCCGATCAAAAAAAAAATAATGCAAATTTGCAAAATCAGTTGGCAAAGATGGAACTGAGCATTGAAGATCTCGAAGAACTAGAGTACTTGTTCAGGCGTTTGATCAAAATTAGAGTTTCCCTCCTCAACATTCTTAATCACTAGCCCAAAATTTTGTTAGAAAAGTCTTTTGATTAGTTTTTTATACTTGTACATGAGATGTACACTTGTGATTATACTTTGAATATTAATCAATACATATGACTTGTTACAATTTTGGAACAAATTTAATTACTTATTTCCACTTATCATGTGTGCAATATCAATTGGACATGAAATAAAGTATCCGAACATGCCTCCCTGTAAAAATTCTCCACCAATTGGAACACCCAACCACGCTATGGTGAAAAAAGTAAATAAATAAATAAACCAACAAAAAAGAAAGAAAATATTGTACTTGAGTTATTGTTTGGTAAATACTAAAAAAGTGACATTTGTAAATTTTTAATTTTTTTTTAGTTTTAGGTTCTTCTAGTGTAGACGAAGCTAAAAATGAAAAGTAAGAAAAGGGGACCAAATTTGAGTGTGACTTGAACTCTAGACCACAAGGTTAATATATAAAACCCTTACCATTTGAGTTGCATATAACTTATATATATGTTTTGTATATTTATATATTTATTTGACCTATGTTGTCCAACACTAGTATAAAATAAAAACAAAACAAAACCCTACAATCTTATTTACTCACCCCATGTAGCAGCAGCCGTTAGTCAAAAAGGGAGGGGAAGAGAGTGGCAAGCAGGCACACCATTAGGTTTCAAGTGAATTCATTGTCTTGGGTATGCATTTTCACCATCTTCCTTCCCTGTTTTCTTGATTCATTATTATCTATGATCATATTTTCTTTGATTGAATATTGTCGTGAGGAAGCAGTGCAATAGTATGGTGGTTGATTGGGATTTTATTAATATTTTTAGTGCTCATACAAGTAGTGTTGATGGAATTTTAGAACAAGCAACACGTGGGGTATAGGTATTCCTTTTGTGAATTCTAGTGATGGGTTCTCCACTGTTGAAAGTGCTATAGTGGACATTAATGGCTGTGCATAGTTAAGTGTTGTGTTTGAAGGTTGTACCAGTTGAGTTTCGGGAAATAGGAATCTAAGTGATAACTTAATAATGGAGTATTTCTTAGTACAAACAAAAAATAAAATAAAATTCTGTTCAGAACAGCAAACTTTAAAAATCAAGAAACCATATCAAATGGATGAATTTTAAATTGAAATTTTTACAGTAGATTAATTACATACTGAATTGTATATCTGATTTTTTTCATAATTTTTTGGGGTCAAAATCCATATAAATTGAGGTATTCAAATCTGTCCAGGAAACCAGTCCGAAACAGTAAATTCGGGAGTGTTGTTCTCATTGGGTATAAATCCAAAAATTATCAAATTAGTGTCATTAGAACCGGTTACGAGTCTAGTTTCGTATGTTTTTAGCCTTGCATTGATTGCTCGTGTATATTAAGAGAACCGTCAATTTCTTTAAAGTGCTGCAGAAAACAACCTGTTTGGATATAATAAATTGTAGATAATTATTTTGATAAGAAAATCAAGTGAAACCAATTGGGTTTGAAACTTAGGATATATTAGATCATATCTGGAGGTTATTGGAATTTTTCGAATAGCGTGGAGTGGGTTTTGTAATTTTCAAAGTTAGCAAATAGATTGGGAAAACTTGTTCAAAACACTGTTTCATCTTAAAGTTATTTTTTAGTTAAGTTTCGATCGGAATCTATGTCTTGGGTGATTTTAGACCTTGAAGAATATGAACTTAGGTAATATTTAGGAGTAACGGTGAGTTGGATTGAGCCGTGTTAGTGCGCTTTAGTTTGGGGTTACTTAGTTCGTATTCTTTAGTATTTTTAAATTTGTAGTGACGTGTAGTTTTTATACTTGGTTCAGGGCTCTAGTTGGACTTTCATACTCTATTCGAGGATTACATTATTTCGTTCCAGGTGAGTAGTTTCATGCTACGTATTTTTATAAATGTTCCCCTACCCTGAACTGTTGGAAAATTAAATTGTTGTTTCAAGAGTAAACTGTTTTGATAAATTATTATCTTATCAATTGAATAAAATTATTTCTGAAACATGTGTGAACTTGGCATACTGTAAACTATTTGTTTTGGTCTCATGTTTATAATGATGAACTACCATGTATTGCGAAACTGAATTATATTGATTATCCGTACCATATGTATATTTTAGTCTAGGGAAATTATTCCACTGTGTGTGGTGACTCTGGCCACTAGGGAACAGATCCGGGTTGGGCCGTGATGACTCTAGTGCTCAACGATTGTAAGGAAAAGACCTTTAAAAATAACTAGGTGACTTTCAATCGGATCGTCTTTGAGAAAAGGCCCAGGTGCCACCCTGAGGATGACTCTTAGTTCGGTATTGGATCCAACGGGGCTTATAGCCTGAGAAATGTGTGGCAGATTATTTGTTTTTATTGGTACCCAGAAAATTATTGGTGTTCATGTTATAATCTGTTTTAAGTGGAAAATGTTGTTTATCATGTTCTTGCGAGACATGAGTATTTTAAGTGTTAAACTGTGGAACCATCTTTTTGAAACAGATTGTATTTACCATACTGTATGCCAATCTAGTTTCTGTGATATATATCTTATTTTGGAATTGAACCCTGTTTTCAAAACTGTATTTACTATCCATGTTGCTACTCACTGAGCTATCAGCTGACTTAGTTGTTTACCATTTCCAGGTATTAGAAGGACTTAGAGTGGACTCATGGCGTAGCGGGGACTAAATTGCATGGACCTCTAGGGCATTCCTTTAGTTTAGAGTGTTATGTCAAATTTGTGCATATTTATATTTATTCTTATCGAAGTTCATTTAGGATTATTTTTTTATATGTGGGTTGTTTATATCCCATAAGTTTGGATGGTTTGTGATTACGGTTGATTTTGCCGTCTATAATTGTGACATGTCTGGATTGCGTTTTGGTTATTTATTATTGGACTATTGTTCAGTTGTTCAATATGATTGGATTCGTGTTTAGGCTTACGTGTGCCTTGGGCTAAGTCCCTGTGGGCCACGGCCGGTCATGCCCGGATTTGGGGTGTGACATATCATGTGTGCAATATCAATTGGACATGAAATAAAGTATCCGAACATGCCTCCCTGTAAAAATTCTCCACCAATTGGAACACCCAACCACGCTATGGTGAAAAAAGTAAATAAATAAATAAACCAATAAAAAAGAAAGAAAATATTGTACTTGAGTTATTGTTTGGTAAATACTAAAAAAGTGACATTTGTAAATTTTTAATTTTTTTTTAGTTTTAGGTTCTTCTAGTGTAGACGAAGCTAAAAATGAAAAGTAAGAAAAGGGGACCAAATTTGAAATAAAATTCATTAAAAAAATCTATGTAAAAAAATTGGGATAGAATGTTTTTATAGGTAAGGATTTTCCCACTCCATTTTTGATGAGCCAAAAGACAAAAATTAAAGTGCGAAGAGTTAACAGTGGAATGTAAATATTATTATTATTTTTGTAAGGCAACTCTCGCTTGTTGGAATATTTATAAAAGTAGAGTCCACATTAGATAAAGGGAGCCACTATTTTTATTCAATTTTATTCTAAATACACATTAGATAGAGTCCACATCATTACTATTCCTACTACACTTTATTCTAAATGCACTTCATTCTATGCATAATAAAGACAAAGAAGTGAATGCATTTGGAACAAAGTAGAATGAGAATAGAGGCTCCTAGATAAAAGGTTAAAAGAGTGAGTCTTAATATACATTCGATGACTCTCTACTTACAAGTTTAGACTTTTAAGTCGATATGAATTTCAAACAATATATATTGGGCTCAATATATGCATGTAATGTTGGGTTTGCATAGAGGCTTGGTGCATGTAACAAGATTGGACCACCATAATATAAAGTGGCATACGATGGAGTGTGTGCTAGTGGCCTTAGTATCGGGTTTGCACAGAGACTTGGTGCATGTGGCAAGGTTAAACCACCACAACACAAGGTGGCTTATGATGAAGTGTGTGCCAATGGCCTTTCATTCTAATAGATTGGATTGGATTGGATTTGCACAAAGACTTGATGCATGTGGCAAGGCTCACTACAGGAAAAATGGTTTTGAACAACATTTTTTTAACGGTGCCTTTTTAAACGCCACTTTTGTTAATCTTTTATGGCGTTTTATAATCGCTACATATTTCTTTAATCAAAACAACACCGTTTTATAATGGAAGGCATTTAAAAACGCCTCCAAATGCCGTAGGACTCATGCGCTTCTTCTTTTTTGAAACCCTTATTTTGAATCTGAGCTCTCTCGAGCTCTC